GCTTCTTGTTACTAGTAGTAAGAATGCTCCTAGTAGTACGGCCAGGAGCCCCTAGTAGAGTCCTTGCTCCTAGTAGTATGGCCAGGAGCCCCTAGTAGCTTCTTGTTACTAGTAGTAAGAATGCTCCTAAAGTAGTAAGGCCAGGAGCCCCTAGTAGCGGCCTTGCTCCTAGTAGCGATGCCCTTGCTCCTAGTAGCTTCTCTTACTGCTTCTTGGTGTTTAAAACTTCAATCAGCAAGCCATAGCAAGCCCAGGCATTCAGGCCTTCCCAGTAGTAGGGACATTGCTTGGCCTGGCACCTAGTCCTGCAGTTGGCGCCATCTTGAATTTCATCCTCTGAATCGACATGGATCTCAATGAGATTCCTGACACACCATAAAGTTTCAAACGAATGAATGGGTATGCCTGGATGAAACCAGTGTGGCACAAAGTTGAATACTGACATGATTTGTGTACATAAAAAATGTCAATGTGTGTGTGTGTCATTGTACGTATGTCCCAAATGCTCTTGTGCTCCCAAGTCTTTTTGGACTGGACAAAATTCATCAAACTCTGGATGCTGCCAAGTAGCTCCTGCTCACAAACAAATTCTCCCTCCACCTTGGCTCTGTGTTCATTATGCTTCTTGAATGTGAGGTGTGCTCTGACTTGCAAGACCCCACAAGTCCAAAGTCAGTGGACTCTCAACAATCAGTGAAAAGCATTCTGTGCAATTTCGGGTTTGCACCAGAATGAATTTCTCACCCTTGCAGTGGATAAGATGCTCCAGCTGCTCAAGTGTTGCCAACTTGGCTCGTCTCTCGCATCTAGACACCATGTCAAAGTCGTGCCTCTTAAGCTCCTGACAATCTGGAAGGCAGGGGGGATGAACTCGTTGTTGCTGCCAGCGGGAACATCTGCAATACTCTCGCCTTCAAACAGGCCATTGGAAAGCAGGCTGGAATCATAGCTGTGCCAGTCCATTGAAGGATGTAACCCGTACGGGATAGACTCTGATAGATGCTCTTAAGGGATGCAACCAGAATCAGTATGGAATGCTATTGCTGCATGTCAAGATCTTGAGATGTTTTGAGTCTTCACACTGTCAGAGCCTGCCACTGGAGGCCAAGGACCCCATTTTGCAGGGACACATTGACACGGATGAAGCCAGTGGTCATCAGCCATGTCTGTTGCAGGGTCATCGAACACCTCGATACAAAACGTGTTGTCGTCGCGTACCACTGCACATGTACTTTCGGGCAATTGATCCCACCGTGACAATGGACATCTCATTGGGCGGATGACTTGGTGCAGTACCAAAAAAGAGACAGGCTACTTGAAGAGGCTAGACGGGCTTCAGCCAGAAGAAGAAAAACATTATATATAAATTATATATTCCAACTTTGCAAGAGTGTCTCGCCGCGCAACACCAAAAAGGGTGAGAAGGAATGTGGCCCAGGGTGTCAGGGAAATCCGGACTGCAACAAGAGGACGCTACTAGGAACAAAGGGCATCGCTAGTAGTAGCAAGGACGCTACTAGTAGCTCCTGGCCTCACTACTAGTAACAAGAAGCTACTAGTAACTAGTAACAATTGAGATAGTTGATGGACAAGTTACCAATGGATACACGGACTGCTCGTTCGCTTCCGCTGCTGCTTCTTCCTTGTCCTCTTCAAACAAATTAGATATGACAGGACTGCAAATGCGTCAACAAAAACAAACGGAAGCAAGCCAGGACTTCTTATTGCGCAGGGTCGCTACATATATCACATATATATATATGAAGCTGGAATGCTTTACTAGAGATTCCAAGGAGAGTTTACACTTATCATCACTTATCAAATTATGTCCAAAAAGATCCAAAAAGACTCCGGCACAAAACAAGTCTAAGTGGATATTGTAAACATCTGAAATGATCATGTTTCACAATCGAGAAGCAGCCATCATGTCCTGAGTTGTGACATTCGGAGTCTGACAGCCAGGTGCTGCAACCGTCGCCCTAGCGCCGCTCACTGACAGCTTCTTCACCTCCACAACTTCTACGGAAAACAGTCTGGTCACCTCTGATGTTTCAAGTATTGTGTCGCCCCTCTTCCTCTCTCTCACCATTCACCATAGAATCCTAGAAGAGTCCTTTCTAGGGTCAACGGCTGAAAACGTGTTTTGAAACGTTTTCCCAGCATTTCCCAGCCGTCAGTTGCGCATCATTGTTGCCGAAGACATCGCTGGGCAAATCAACCTCTCACAAACACAAGTCGCCCATTTTCCAGATTTCACTATTATAGAAGCATCACCCCTTTTACTCAGCTAGGGACGTGCTCTCAAGCAACATGTCGAAAGATTATGCAAAGTCAAGATCACGCAAGCATCAAACAATAAGCTACTAGGAACAAGTGCATCGCTACTAGTAACAAGTGCCTTACTAGTAGTAACAAGAAGCTAGTAGAAACAAGAATTAAATACGGTCCAAAGTTTGCGATACCCGGACAAGGGGCACTGTTGGATTTGACACATGCGACGATGGATCCATGAAGCTCGACATATCCCATGGTAATGTTCTCGTAGTCCTGTCACTTGCGTCAAGTACGAGCAAGAAGAATCACTACTGGTAGGGTTAGCGAATGAGGCACTGAGCGAAGCAGTCCTTGTCGGCATCTGGCTTTAAAATGGCCCAGTCGCCACTGGCACACTGGTTATCGCCCCGGGCTGTGTCATAGCGCTGCAGCCAGAAAGTTTCCTGGAGCAAAATCTTCTCTTCAAACAAAATTGGACTGTATTGGTTTCCAAGTCTGTTCAATTATGTTCAATTCAAAAGTCACAACAAATGCCAATGATGTGCGATGTGCTCCATCCTGCTTTGTCAAGCCTTGCTTGAAATACACAGGCCCTTGGCCCGTCGTCTCGACGTTCTCCCCACGTGGGCAATATTCCCCCCCCACATAGTGGAAGTCAGGAAGGTTGATGTCGATGCAGCTTCCTCTCTCGCCACATCCCGCAAAATGCTCAAAGACCCATACGTCCTGCGTGGTGTGCAGGAGAAAGTGACAAGGGCATTACTACTAGCAACAAGAACATCGCTACTAGTAGCTTCTCGCTACTAGTAGAAATGCCCTTGTTATTAGTAGCATCTAGTAGCGATGCACTTGCTACTACAAGTAGTAGCTTCTTGCTACTAGCTCGCTATCAAAATATACAGTAGATCTACTTCGATTGGAGCAGGGGCTATCAGTAATGCATGAAATGTGATCAGCTGGTTCAACTAATTGCATTTCCTGGCAAGAGAAGGCTGGATGCTTTGCTTCCTTCCATGGGCATGTCTGATTGAGATTTGCAGAACAACAATAGATCTTAAAAAAGTACTCAAGTGAGTCCGGGTATCATTAGGGATTGAGATGAATCGTTTGGGATACAGTGCACCAATAGCTGGACATGGCACAAACAGAAACGCATAGCCTTTCTGCATGGATTGCGCCTCAAGACTTTGGCTTCTCCAGTCCTTGTGGATGCAAGCATGCTCTGAAGAATCCTTGCAAAGGCCCGAGAAAAAGTAGCAGTCGTTCCCAGAGGTGTGGAAATGAGAACAAGTGGCATCGGAACCTCAGGTGCGGTGTTGGAATCCTGCAGAAGTAGCTCGGCGATTTGTGCATTCACCTTGCAATGCATGCATCCGTTGTGCTGCTAATCAAAGAATCATGGAGCTGTGCTACTAACTACAATAACGGATCATCTACTTTTCAATATTTGCGCACTCCTGGCAGTCCAAGGTTCGGCACAAAGACCTGCAGTCGCTCTCCGACTTGGCACCCTTGTGATGCCTGCGGGCAAAACTGAGCCGCTTCTTGGCCCAACAGGTCCTGAGCTTAGCACGATCAGGGTATCTAGTGAACCCAAATCATATGTGTATATGTATATACTGTGTATACAAAATCACATATATATATATATATAAGGGCAACAAATACGGGCAATAGTTCTTAATGTATCTTAATGCCTTGTTTTAAGAAACCGGGTTCAACTTGCATGAGGCAGGTACTGTTCGCCCATTCTGGCCAACGACTTCTTTTGCTTAACTCTGTGTGTCTTTACAGGTGGCC